CAAATATTACTAAATACAATTGAACATTACAAACTAATAACAAAGAAGCATGAATATTTTTTTAAAACATGTTCAAAGCCTTTAACAAAATCAATATTCAATAGTTACTAAATGTCTGTAAATGTATTGGCATCTTCTAGACTAGTTTAAACTTTATTAAATACCTTCATTAAGACAGAAAAGTCAAAAAAATTACTGTCTATGGCCTTACTAACCCAATCACATTATACTTAGACATAGAACAAGAAGAAACTTATTTTTCACTACTTTGAAAATTTTACTATAACCCTATTCTTAGCTATATAAACTCAAAATACAACTCAAAACTTCTTAAAATCTCATTACAATCTCTATTAAAAACAATCTTTTTAACTACTCTATCTATTACAACAATACTACCTCTTGCCTTTATGAATAATACAGTATGGCATTGTGAATCTAAAAATAATCTTTAAAATATTCTAGATAACATATCTGAACTTTATCAACTAAATAATATACAAATTAATCTATTTAAATCAGATCTTATTTATATCATACTTAATAAAAAAACATCACTTAATACTATCCAAGATATAAATCCTTTAAACTTTAATAACCAACCAATTATACTTTACAAATCCAATGATTCAATTAGATACTTAGGTATTTTTTTAGACAGAAAAGGATCAACTAAACCTACATTTGAAAAAATTATTAGCAAAGTTTCTCAATTTACTTATATGATCCAATATAAAAAACTCCATTCTATACAAATATCTCAATTATTTAATATTATTCTATTATTATTAATTGAATACTACTTTAAATTTACTCTTTTTTACAAAACCAGCTTTAACAATTATCAAGTTTTTTAACAAAATGCATCAAACACATGCTCTACTTATCTACAAATACAAATAATGATATACTTATCAACTCACAATTACTCAACATCTCTATACTAAATAAACTTATTCTACAAGTTAGTAGCAGTAATATAGAAAGATGCTTTAACACTAATGAACTTTTAAACTAAATTACTATATACTGAATTAAGAAATGGCTTTTCAAAATATAGAAACCATTTCTAACACAAGATATAATTCTAAAAAATTACAAAAAAACTACTAATTTTACTATAATATTCCAACTTCATTACTTATATAAAAACAATATATTTCTTAATAACTCCTATCTAACTTAGCTATTAACTTATAAACAAACTAACCAACTAAACAACATTTACAACTTTATTTTATTTTCAAGTAATTCAACAATCTCTAGTCTTAAAAATAACAAAATTTTTTTTCTTGAATGACTCCTTATAGCTAACAATCTAAATCTACTTTATTGAAAAAATATATATTTAAGAATCCTTAAATTTTTATGAGGCCTTATTTCAAGCTAGTTCAAAATATTTTCAAACCAAATATCCACTTCTCTTATAATATGCATATAGCCCAACATTCAACTTCTACCAATAAATCTATTTCTAAATATACTTAATCTGATTATACCTTAATTTAATAACATTAAAAATATATAGACAATTTATATCTCATCTTCAAACTAGCATATAGGCAAAATAACAAATAAATCCAATTTATTATTACTCTTTCAAACTACCAAATTATTAATTCAACATTCAACACAATTTGTATTTCTTCTATATCTATAATAATTCAAACCAATTACAAAAATACTATTAACTTAAAATGCAAATACAAAAAAAACAACATTTTAAGCTTAATATTAACAATCAAGAAATTTAAGCACTTCAAAATATTTACTTAAAGCTATACAAACCAGTTTTCCAATTTTTACTTTTTTTTTTAATACCTTCTTCAGAAATTCTCTTAATACAAAACACAATACCTAATTCTATTTATTAAAACCAACTTATTGATCTTTATAAAAAAATTTTATTTCTAGAACTAACTAATCTAAACTTCTATACAGATGTTTTTATATTCAATTTACAAACAAATAACATCTCAACAAGCATCATTTGAATTCTTAAAAAAAATATACAAATCAAATTTAATGCTTCTATAACTCATGCACCAAACTCAATACAAGCTAAACTAGCAGCACTCATTTCTCTATTCCTCATTCTACTTGTCAATTATCAAATTTATATCTATTTAAACAGTTTATCTACTATTTAAACACTCTTTAATACACTACCTTACTACTACAACTCACAAACCAAACAAAATAATTGGAATATTATACATATGCTTAATTATTTAATAAAACTCAAAAACATTAATTACACTATACACAAAGTTAAATCATATTCAAAAAATACTTTACACAATATAACTGATTCTCTTGCTAAATAAGGTGCCAACAAAACTAAATTAAAATTTAATCTTAACCACTTCTACCTATCTACTTACTTTTTTTAGAAAAAAATTCTAATCATATACAAACTACGTATATCTGCAAAAATCTAATCTTAATTCAAACATTTAACAAACTTTTTCAACTCAAATTACTATAAAATTTTCTGACTATAAACATTTTATTATTAACTAAAATTATTAATTTTTAAAATTTCAATCTTAAACTATATTCTATTAGAAACAAAATACTTTTTAATAATTTACCAACAATATCAAATCTAAATATCTGCTATTCTCTTCTTTATCTAACCCCAAATTGCTCATATTGTAATCAATATGAAAGCATCAAATACTTATTTCAATGCTTACTTCATTTCTACAACTCACAAAACACTCTTACTAATGAAATCTCAAAATGCTTTAAACTTTTTAAACATTACAGAAATCTCACCAAATGCAATAATATAAATTCTTATTATACAAAATACTTCTCTCAATCTAAATATATATAATACAATATTATTACTCATTTAGAGTACAATAACTCTTAACTAATACAACCAACTTCAACTTATTCTAAAAAAATTAACCAACAAATTTTTTATTTCTTTATCTAACTTATTACTTACTTGGTTTAACTCTACTATCTGGCAAATCCATAATTCTAAATAATATGAATAAGAATTATTATAAAAAATTACATTCTTTACTAAAAAGAATAACAATATCAGATTATCTACTTCTCAACTTACAAACTCTAACAATATCACTTTTACTTTTAACACTGATATAGATCTCTTTATTTCTAAAACTCTTACTCAAAACTTTATTATATATATCTGTTTTTACTAATTAAATAATCCTAAAGGTTTATTTACTCTCTTTGTAGTTAAGTTCATATCAATTAACTTAACTAATAACAAAAAACTAAAAGATAATATTACACTAAATGTTATAGCATATAACAACAATAGTGTAGTTTAGGAATAATATTTTAGTTATACATCTATATTTAATTAATATATAAATATATTCTTATTTTTCTACTTGATATTATATACAATAAATAAATAAAAAATTTTATTATTGTTTTAATAATTATTTTATATAATTTGATTAGTTAATTATAAGAGTTGTCATGATAATGAGTTGCTATAAACTAACACTTTTAAGTATAAATATAAAGTAAGATTTATAATTAAATTTTGCAAAATTTATATAATAAAAACTGTAAAATACAATTTCTTAAATTTAGTAAAAAGCAAAATTTTGATAATATAGATTTATTTTATTTTACATTATTAAAAAATTTGATAACTAGTATTTTATAATATATAATTTTTATCAGAATAATTGGTTTTTTTTTTAAATTACTTTTAAAAAAATTTATTAGTTTACACATAATATATAGATACAAATTTTCATAGCAAAGTAACCATAATATGCAAACACAGATTGACATAATAAAGTATAAAGAAAAAAGTCAAAATTTAATAATTATGATGTAATTCTAATTTAAAAATAAATGCTTAATAATACCATAATATATATATATATTTTTTATATAATTAAACTAGTCTTTTGGAGACTAGGGCTTTTTTATTCAGTATTGTAGAACATGATAACTTATGGTCTGATTATTTCAGAGAAGCTACCTTACATTAGAGAGTACATCTAGCCACATGTATACTTTTGGTGTCTAATTTAAGTAGTCTGCCTATATATAGGTTCTACACTAGCTGCTATACCTGCAACCCAACTATGGGTGTTGCCTATTTAAATCCTCTGTACTGCAATCTTTACTGTTATTACTAGAACATCTCTGTTACATAATGTCAGTCAAAAAGTTCTAGATGCTTACCTATACCCTTAGGACCCCTATCTTATTTTATGCAGATTATCCTTAAGACATCATTACTAGAGCCTTCTGTATTCCAAATTACAGCTAAATCTAGTTTACAACCCTTGTGAAGTTTATACAACCTCAGTACCCTCCTTTTACAACCTCACTGTTATCTCATCTATCCTTGCAAGTCCTTCTATACTACCAATCCAGTTAGCCCTGCATAATGTGACTTCATGCCCAGATCAACCAGTGGCCAGGTTGGTGGACCCTCTATCTAGAGGTTCTTGCCTATACAGATCATCTGCCCCAGGTTTTCTTCAGCAGATCAAAATCTTCACAGGTGGCACTAATGAAAGTTGTACTACCTCTCTGCTTAGGATTTCCAAACAGGCTTCTAATCTGAGTATATACTTTTTGGATTTATTCATATAACATTGCATACTTCCAAAGTTAGTCTTGGTATAACCAGAATTACAGGATCTACAAACCTCAGATCACAGATAAGTTTGCCAGAATAGGTTTATTTTTTCAAAATCTGTTACTGATAGGAATTAAACATTGGACCTACTGCTTGGAGGATGACAATCCAACCACTACACTAGGATCACTATCCTATAATACTACAATATTAACTCTCTTTTACATCATATTTGTTTAATAAAATTTTAATATAAATGAACTTAATTATTATTTTTGTGATGAACAATATTTTGCTGTTTTATCTTCATCTTAAGTTTTGGTAATTACTACTGTATTTAATTTTCTGTTCATGTTCTGTCCAAAATTATCATTGCCTAACCAAATAATTTTAATAGCCTTATAAAATGATCTTGATGTTAAATACAGTAATTGAATCTAATGATGAATATTTTATTTATGATGATAAAAACATTTTTACTTCAACTTTGTCACATGGCATTTTTGTTTCAACTTCATTATAAGTGCCTGTAATTATCTGCCTTGTTGCTTTATTCTATTCATTTCCTATTAAAGCTTAAAACAAGATTTATTTTTTATATATTAAAGCTAGTATTAATCAGCTTTAACATATAAAGAATAAACTTGGTTTTAAGTTCTATTTTCTATATGTTTAACTAAAAATCTAACATACTTTTTTAATAGTCTTATAAAATAACAACTAATAATAGCCAGTTTGATGATGAATCAGATGAATCAGATAATTCATCTGATTCTTTAAAATTAGTTTCAGGACTTAACTTTTATAACTATGAAAAATTCAAAACTTGGTTGAATAGATTTGCATTAGAGACTGGTTTTAATTATAAAGTTAGAACAAGTAAAATAAAAGATGATGTGATAAGAAGAACTACTTATGAGTGTATTAAGTCTGGTTTTTATGTTTTGCAAATTATATCAAACCCAACAAAAAGGCATAATACTTGCTCTTAATAGACACAATATCACTAGAAACTCAACATTACTTGTTTAAAAACAAGTAGAACTATTGTAAAAATTAACTTATTTATTAATAATCATAATCATTTACTTACTTCAATAATACATGAAATAGCTCCAAGGTTTTGAAAATTAATAAATGAAATGTTAGTTAATATAGAGAAGTATGTCATTTAGGAGTGAATGGACTTAGAGTCTATCTTTTATTATTAAAACATAATTATCCAGATTACCTAATTTATAAGTGGGATTTATATAATGCTGTTTATCAATTTTGTCAACAAAATAATCCAGGTGATGCAGATGCTTTTTAAATGTTATAGCTGCTACTAGATTGGAAGAATTAAAGCTCTTATTAGTTGTAAAGTCTTGATTGAATCTAGTTTCAAAAAAATTAAACTTTCTTTTTTGAATATCTCCTACTTAGAGAGAGTTATATAGCAGATACAATAATATAGTAATAGTAGATATGTACTACTTATAATACCAACTGGTTTCAGATGCTACTTTGTATTATAGTTATAATAGATAATAATTTTAGAACTAGAATTGTTGCAAATACTATAATTGAAGATAAAATAATAGATATCTATTAATAGATCTTTGATAATATATTCACTGAGACAGGTATTTTATCTAGCATAATATTTACTAATTCAGATCCTTCTATGATTTGATTAATCATAAATAGTTTTTCTACTGCCTAGCATTTTTCATGTATTTTTTATATAAATATGAATCTTTGAAAAAAGCTTAAAGAAAAATTAGGTAATCAGTTTAAAGAATTTTGTTGCAAGTTCTTTATATATTAAAATTTTCTATATAAAGATCTATTTGAACATTGATAGAGTCAATTAGTCAATCAATATTCAGTGGCCCTAAAATACTTATCTGAAACACTTTATGTTATTAAGGAATCATAGATGATGTCTTGGATACATAAAAATTTTATAGCTAATATACAAAGTTTACAAAGAGTGGAATCAATAAATAAGAATATATATAACAAAGTTGATCAGTCAATATTATTATGCAATTTTTTACTTAGTATTAAGAATTATATAAATAATGTAGAGCATCTAAAAAGGTTTAAAATTGAATAGAATTCTTTATCTGTAATTAGGCTATTAATGTTAAATTCAAGGTTCTTTAGTCAAATAGTTTTTATTTTTAAAATTTTCTTAACACCTGTGATGCTTGATAAACAAAAGTCACAAATGAACAAATCTGTATATTATAATGTTAACTAAATTACAGAGTAACAATATTTGATAGATGTAAGTAATTATTTATAACTTTATAATCTATTATATATTAATTTAAGATTAAATTAAACTAATACTTTACAACTTATAGACAGAAGTTGCTAATGATAAAATTAGTATTAGTATTAGAGAAGAAAATCAAAATATATAACAGATTTTTTTTAGTTTATTGGCTTGAACTGTACTTTAAAAAACAATTATAAAAATATAAAATATATGTGCTACTAGAACTCAAGAAATAGGCCATTATGTAGTACTACTTAATAAAGATATATATTTATACATCTGTCTTTTGTTAGTTAATAAGAGGTTGATATGTCAGCACTTTTTTCATATTGGAATTTACTTTCAGCATGCCATGTTTTACATAAGTATGATTTCAAATCAATGGTATTCAAATACTAATATTAAACTAAATGATCTTATGCAACAATATTAACTTATTCTAATATATAATACAAAACTAAATAATATAATAGAATTTGAGCAAAGTATCAATTTTTATTATTTCTTTTCAATTTGGACCAAATCATTTGGTTCTCATACTACAGTAAAATCAAATAAGACTGCATATGCAGAGTTACTTGGACTATTAAAAAAACTTATTGATTATACTATTAAAACTAATTTAGAATATGAGTTATTGAATACATTTAAGAAATTAATCCATAATGCTTAGAATAGTAATCAAGAAAATGAAAATTACTTAACTAATATTTTCAATCAAAAGAAGAAAAGTTATTTATCTAATGTTTTCAATCCTGTTGTTATTAAATATAAAGGCTGACTCTCAAAAAGACTTAAAGCTAGTATTAAAAATAACATATATAAGGATAAGCAAGTCTTAGTAAATAGTAGTAATAATAGTACTAAGAATGTAGTAAATACAAATAAATGAAAATGTAGCAAGTGCAAGCAGCATGAACATTATGCAAAGATCTGCTAATATATTAATTAATATTATTAGATGTAATAAAGCTAAAAATATATAATATTTGTTGTATACTAATCAAAACTTCAACTGTTATATGATTACAAAATTGCTTTATTGTTTATATATATATGAATGTAATTGTATTTTTCTTTTTTTTTAATATTAATGATGAGGCCATGCATGATTGTATTTTCTATATGTACTATATATTACTATTTAATATATAACTAGTATGTATACATATATGTATATATATATATATATATACATATTAATATATCAATACAAATTAGAGTGTGGTGACCTAGTAAAGTGGTCAAGTTGTCAACCCTCCAAGTGGTAGGTTGGGTGTTCAAATCTCATCGACAGCAAAAATTTGGATAATCACCTATGTAATATTCATATTATGGCAACTGTTACTAATGATTAGGTTAGGATATCTGTAATAGTGATTGCACTAACATAACTGGTAAGTCATGAAGCATTCATATAACAGGTTACATGACATTGTCCTTTGGGACAAGGTTGTGGTTACATAAAGAAATGCAAACTGGCAATAAGTAGTGCAAACACTAGATAAGTCCTTGTGGCCATATAAATCTGTTGAAATTGGGTAACAAGAAGTCTATTTGGGAAGACTCGGGTAGAGAAATAGCCAGATCTTCAATGGCCTTACTGTAAAGGCTAGCTTTATAAAATGGATACCAAGCTCAAAGTAGCTGGATGGGCAAAAACCTTTAGGTGGGGGGTACCACCAACTAGGCCACAAGATCGAGCCAGAGGAAAAGGATATTAGACTGATCTAATATATCAATAAACTGTCATAAGTCCTATCGGGCTATCTGGATTGGGAGTTTGGTGAACCAGCAGGGATATACTAAAGTATTTCAGATATGCTGTGAAGTAGATGCTTGGGTTTGTGTGAACTCTACAAGGGCATAGTGGTTTAATAATCAGCTCTGACCATAAGTGTTGGTTCTGCCATAGCAATATCTAGGTTAGTTGTAAAAATGGGTACAGAAGGCTCTAGAGAGTTTACCTCAAGGATAAATTAGTCCTAAGGTTAAGGATGATAATCTGGTACATCTGAGATGATTAGTGATATTAATACAGGTTACAGGTTCAGAGGGTTTAAAGTAGAATACCCAAGCAGAGGTGTTAGGTATGGCAATTGGTAGGGAACCTTCGGGTGAACTCCTTAAATAGATAATATAGAAAAGTTATATGTGTAGCCAATTGTACACTCTTCTGTAGTAGTTTATTGAACCACAATACTGATAAGTGATTAATAAAAATCAAAAGACCAAAGAGGTTATTTTAAAAAAAAAAAAATAATAAAAAAAATAATTATCTATATAATATTTAAATGCATATCTGTATATAGTTATCTTAACAACTATTTGCAGTTAGAATATATTATTAAACTATTACACAAACAAAAATATCTATCAAACTTAATGTGATATTCTAAATATTATGAATATTATCTTCTATAATTGTATTTATATGTTTCACTTATATATTTTTATCTGATCTTATTTTTTTGACTTTTAATTTAACTATATCTAGTAATACTTTGTTCTTACATTTTTTATTTTTTTGTTACTATATTATTCTTAAATTAATTCTACTTAAATATGTCTAATACTTCTAATCTCTTATCTTTAGTATGACTATTATTGATTTTTCTAAAGTGTTCTAATAATAGTTTAGAATTTATAATAAATCTGTATCTTAAGTCAAATCTGCTATTATTATTGGTCTTTTGACCAATCTGTATTTTAAGTCAGATTTGCTACTACTGTTTTTGCAAATGTTTTAGATCTTAATATTATATAGTAACTCAGTATTGCATTTAATTTTTAACAAAATATTCTCTTCTATAGTAAAAACTAAAACTTGGTATACTTATAAACAGAACAATTTTGATTATATCTAAGAAGTTTTTTTGATCCTAATGATACCATACTATCATATATTGTAAGCTCCTAACTTATTTAATAATATCTGTAAGACAATTCTAATTATGCTTAAAAAGTTATACTAACTTCAATGATATCTTACTATCTTGCAAATTTTATCTTATATTAGTTAGTTAATTCCAATTTTGTTTATCATAGATTTTTATATAAGTATAATCAGAATCTAATTTGATATCTTTATATTGTACAAAAAAATTATATATTATTTTTTAAGATTTTTTCTTCTATAATTAAATTATTTAGCTATATTAAAAGTGTTCTTAATTTTTAATTAGATCAATTTTTTATTATAAATCATTCTCATGTTCATTATTTTTCTTATTATTTCAGTCTTGGTTATTTTTAGATAATTCTTCTAATCAAATCCTTTTCTTGGATTCTAATTAAAACTTATTTATACAATTTATTAATTATCTTTTCAAGCAAATATCTTATAAGTTAGATACAAGAATGTTGGTACTGTTTATATTAAGAGACATAAGGATATTAATATTACTTTGGTCTAAAGAACTTATATATGCAATCTTTCTATAACTGTAACCTTTTATAACAACTACTTGCTATATATAGTGTTTGCATTTCATAGTTAGGTTTCTTTTTAAGAATTTCTTTATTCAAATATGTACTTGCACTTGGATTTTTTTACAAGACTTTATATCTGATTAATGACTCCAATAGGTTACAGAAACAAAATTGCTTCTAGTTTAACTTGAATTATTAACCTTGTTTATGAAAGGTTTAAAAACTTATCTGCTAAGTTATAAAACCTAAAACCCTGATTTGGATTTAAAAAACCCTATATACAAGTAATTAAAACATTTATTATTAATTATATCAGGTGCTTAATAAGTTCTAAACAGAACGTTTTTGTTAATCACTAAATTATGTATTTTTAAATAGAGATAAAAAAGTCCTTTTACTAATAAATTTAAATACTTCTAATAATCAAAATGATTAATTTGACTAGGAACTTATCAAACATCTGATAGAACTTACTTCATTATTAAACCACTAGCCGCGCCATATATTACATTTAGCTTTCATATTATTTATATTACGTCCAGTATATATATGATATCTAGACTAAAAAAATTACATGAGTAGGTTTAAACCGGAAGCCAAAATGTGTACCGGGTTTGTTCCTGAACTACAAATCATATTTCAAGGTTTTATGCAGAAAAATTCAAAACATACGTTCTGCCAAAAATCGCTCATAACTTAAATCAGCATAAGAAACCACCTTTTGTGCTCTAATAAAAAGTTTTCGTTGGACAATTTTACTATTATAATTACTCTCTTCTAACTTATAACCCTAACCCTGACCTTAAAGACTTCTGCCTGCGCCACAAACCGGTACACATTTCTGAGTGCCATATTCCCTACTGATATAGTAGAACTGCAAATAATGTTATTTGATTGGTTAATAGTCATGCACAGATCTATAAATAGCTTTAAATAGCAACCGGTTTTAAATTACGGGTTATCAATTCGGTTCCTAAATTTGCAACCGGTTCCGACCTCTAATCTCACGTGAGACGATTTTCATGTACTGCATCCGGTATAAAACTCGTCGATATTTTTAATTATAGGTCAAAGAATAACATTCAAATTTGATTCGGCATCTAAAACTTGAAATGCTTAATGATAATTTCTATTGTTAGAATCTAGAATTAATTTTCTTAAATTTTAAATATCGTCAAAAGCCAGAGAGTTAACAATTAAAATAAGAGTTACAATTAATAGTATTGTTACCGAAACCGTTATCGTTATATATAAAATTTCTGGCATACAGTAGCATTGATGCATAAATTAATGAATGCTATTATTAATTTTCCGATCAGGCCTGAATTTCCGCGAAATGAAATATGTATTACCACCAGATTAATAAGCAATTCAACTGGGCATTTTTGTTTTATTATTAGTTATTTTTTTACTCATTGCACCGATAAATGGTGAGTAATAATCGTCTTTTTTTTCCTACGTAAGATCACTAAAAACAAAAAAGGGACTGTTTAATGACTTTCATATATCCTATAGCTTTCTCCGAGAATGCATGTTATTTTACGTCATTTGTTTGTTAGATCGCACATACTGAATTACTGAATCTGTGACAGGTTATGTCGATCATCGCTGATTGCAGCCAATAAAATCACAAGATCACGTATAACTTAAAAAATTCGAAAAAAATAAGATTTTACTATGATAACCACACAGTTTAACTTCTAAATAAAAGTTTTCGACACGAAATTTTAGTTATACGGAGATATTTAAATACCAAATATCAAGTAAATTAAAGCCTGCGTTAAATGTGCTCTTTCGATTTGGTGATCGACACAGATTCTGTTAGATCAGATCTGAGGTTGCGTGATGACACGTGATACGTAGTACAAATTGTCTCACATCGATTATGACTCAGAACCGATCAAGTTTTTGACGAAGAATTTTTTTCGCTTGAAAAAATTTATAGCCTGATTTCTATAATTGCTTTATATCTATTTTTTTGCTTCCGGGGGTGTCCGTTACGATTGAGAAATTTATTTTTAAGGTATAAAATGGAAGAACAGATAGAACAAGCTGTTGCCATCGCTTTGAGCCCCTCTTCGGATCATACTTTGAAAAGTCAGGTGTGTAACTCTTCTCAGTATAAGGATTGATTTATTCTTCATTAAGACTATTTATTGATCGAAGCCTAAGAGTTCGTTTGATGCTTTATTTTTATGGGTTGATGTCAAGGATTGATATATCCAGATTAATATTCTTGGTCTACTTTAAGATTATTTACTGAAATTGCTTTCAATTCTGAAAATCAAATAAAAAGAATCAATTAAAATTTGAATACTTTTCTATTTTGTGGATTTGTTTAATTTATTAGTGTTAATTTTGAGCTTTGATCTTAACCATAAATCATAGCTGCAATGGTTGCTGTTAGATCGATCTGAAATTAAAGATCTAATATAAAATCTAATATGTGTATGCCTATTATCATGATGCTACTTGGCGATAACATATAGGCTATGAACTTTTGTGAACAAGTAAAAGCATCCCCCGATGGTTGGCTATTATGTTTATCATTGTTCGTCCGATTTCCTAAAAGGTGTGTTCTCAAACGTTTATACTGCTCCTTTTATTTATCTTGAATACTTGACAATATCTTGACTTTTGAAGATTAGGATAGTTTTTTTTTTTTGTAACTTACCCTTTTATTAACATCACAGTCACCTTCCACCTTCCCTATTTTAAACTGTATGTGTTTATGTTATACATCATATAATATTCAGTGCTCCCGAAGCTCGGTTGTTTGCTTTACAAGTTGTAGATGGGGTTCTGAAAAATGGGTAACTATCAATATCAAATTGTCAATTTTATATCTCGTTGCTGTCACAAACATTGTTTTAAGTCTGATCTGGTTTATTAGATCTCTTGACACGTCACAGCTTCTCCACATTCGAACCACATTAATAGAGTTTGTTAAGCGAGAATATGTTCTCGAAGGAGTTAACGGTGTAGAATTTAGTTCCGAGCCGCAATGTCAATATTCATTTTTGGCTTAGTCATTAATTGTCGATTTTACCTTTCTCTACTGACTTAATTTATTTATATGATCAATCTTCCTTTTATTTATAGATCTGAAAAATAAATTTTCACACACTTTAACATTACTCTTTGTTCAATTATATCCGTCATTATGGCCAGATTTCTTTGATGAATTTTTGGCATTACTTCAAATTAATCATATAAATGGTAGCAAAACCAATGTCTGTACAATAGATATATTTCTGAGAATATTAATATCAATTGATGAAGAAGTAGTGAATTTGTCTGTTCCTAGGAAAAAAGAGGATGCACAAAGAAATACATCCATTGTAAGCATTTGTTTATTTTTTCCCCATCATTTTTTACAACTCGATAGCATTCACAATTGATTTACTTATTTGTACCTTTTAATCCTTTCTCTTTATTATTCTTTGTCTATTCAATGCTCATTAATTGATTATACAATTGCGTCGGTATATTTGTTAGAAAGACTTTATGAGGAGAAATGATGTTCAAAAACTTGCTACGGTTTGGTATGACATTTTGAAAGACTATTGCACTCGAAACCAAGATGTTGCTGAAATGTGCTTAAAAATAGTTGGGCTATATATTTGTGCGTCTATTTTTTTCCTTAAACTCGACTGTTACTCATAAATTTACATGCCATTTAAATAAATCAAAATTTCATGTATTCTTTATAATCAGCCTGGATTGATATCTCTTTGATTGTAAATGAGTCGTTCATTACACTTATATATCAATTATTGGGAGAAATAAGACTTCGAATTGCGGCTTGTGAATGTTTGGCTGAAGTACATATTTATATTAATTATACCGCCAACTTTGGTTTATTTTAAATAATGTCATTTTATATTCTAGATTGTATGCAAAGGAATGAAACCTTTAGACAAATTTGAATTGATTCAAGTCTTGAATCTAGCAGATGTCATGAGACGTTTAGATCTCGTAAGTAATCTTTTTGTATACTTTAAACTTTTTACGGATATAAATGATGATATTCACCCTCATAAAACCATAAGTCGGACGATATAGAGTTTGTAGAACAAGTCGCCAGGCTTACTAATGTTCTTGGCGTAGAATTATGCAAAATATGGGAAGAGGTAAATTACAACTACTGGCTTTCCATTGTTACTATTATTTCAATTTTTTAATTTTTTTTAATTCCATTTAAGGTGGATTCCGAAACAAAACCTGTTGTATATGTTCAAATAGAACTCTTTCTCCAATTTCTATTGAAATTTTTGGCTGACGAATATGATGATACTTCTTGTGCTGTATTTCCTTTTGTATCAGCATTACAAACAGTGTTAAAAAAGCAGAAAAATTTCTCTGGTGCATTAACTGGATCACAAAGAGAATTTTTGGATTCGTTGCTAAAAGTGGTAGTTCTCAAAATGAAATATGATGACGAAACAGATTGGGGTGGAACAGATGACGGAGCAGAAGATGCGGCAGAATTTTTGGAGATGCGTAAGGTAACAAATGTGGTAGATAAACGTGCATTGGTGTATATTATAGTATTGATTACTTTTATATGCAAAATTCTCAGAATCTAAAATCATTCTTTGAAGCGATTTATCACATCGACACGCAATTGTTTACAACATATATTCGTTTTGCTGTGGTTAGTACTTTGGATAATTATGCAAAATTAGGAAATGCACTTGATTGGCGTGAACTAGAATTAGCATTGTACTTGTTACATTTATACGGGGAAGCAATTAAAGGAAAAGTTCAGTTTGTGGAGAAACATAACAATGAAATTACTGCATATACCCCTTTAGGGGAAATGATGAATCAAATGATTCAGTGTGGCAAGTATTCATACAAATATTTATAAATGCACAGGATATATATTAACATTAAATTTTTCCAATAGACGTTTCTTCATATTCCCATCCAGCCATTACTCTGAATTTTTTTGAAAATATTTCTCGCTATTCTCAATTTTTTGAGATACAACCCGATTGTATTCCTCCGGTACTTGAGGCGTTTGTGGATATACGTGGTTTGCATAATCCAAATACAACAATTCGCTATCGATCCTGGTATCTTTTTCATCGATTTATAAAGTTATTGAAGCTAAAAATGGATAAATATGTTAATACAGTATTGGGAAGTATTCAGGTTGTATTTATTTTCTTTACAAATATTTCATTTCTAAATTGGATTGATCTTATCAAATATAAATAACTAATATTTATTAGCTTTTTTTATAGGATTTATTGATGATACAAGCTGTAATTGAGCCTTCTGATATGTCTGCAGACAGTAATCCTTTGACAAAAGATAAAGCAATGGAAAGTGGATTTAGCGAGCAGATATTCCTTTTTGAAACTGTTGGTATATTAATCACAGCCGACTGTATCCCTCCGGATAATCAAATGGAATTTGCAAAAGTATTTTTAGCACATTGGGTTTTTCCTTTAACTGTTTCTGAATATTCACCCTCATTTCATGATAGGCTGTATTTAACCCTTTAATGGAGGAAATACAACGCTATATACAAATCTGTACAGAATCACCTGAACACATAGATCCTCGTTCAGTACTTCACTTACATCACTTGATAATGGCTATTGGTAGCATTGGAAAAGGTTGCATATCTTTTATTTGGTAATGATAGCTCTACTACGTTCGTTATTTGCTCATTTGCCTCTGCATCATCATATAGGATTTCCTGAAGCTCCCAAAGGCTCTCATCCAACTATTCCATGGGTTGGAATTCTAAAACAGTCTACTGAAATTGTTCTTGCTGTGCTTAAAATTTTGAACAGATACGAAATTATCAGGGATGCTGTATGTTCCAGAGTAAATTATAAATAGCGCTGGTTTGGCGTAATTTATAAATCTAAATGAGATTATTCTTTATGCAGGCAAGGTATACCTTTGCACGGCTTGTTAGTGTACTTGGCACGGAGATATTGCCATATCTTCCTTTATTAATTAATGAATTGCTTACTGAGTGTGGAATTTCAGAATTAGTGGATTTTCTCCCATTTATTGGACTTTTAGCTCATAAATTCAAGGTGAGCTGTTATTCAATCATTTATTGTATCAAATTCTTTATTTAATTATTAATTAATTAACTAATTAATTAGCCTTCGATATTTAATATTTTAAATGAGCTAATTATTCCCTTGGTCGATAAAGTTTTCCATTTCCTGAATCAAACACCATCCGGAACGGATGATGCACTTTTGTTGATAGATCTTCGAAAAGCTTATCTAAATTTCATTTTAGGATTGTTGAACAATGAAATGGATGCAGTTTTCGTCAGCGAATGTAATATTTTTGATTTATTTGTGTTTTAACAATCAGCCTTTTAATCTCTAAAATGATAATGATCAAATATTTTAGTGAATCAGCCACGTCTAGAAAGCATACTTCAAAGTGTAATACATTATGCCAGTGATCCTTCGGATATTCCCTCGATGAAGATAGCTTTTAGTATACTTTCGAAAGCATTGACACTATGGGGTAGCCAGTACTTAGCAATGGGTGCATTATATGAACACATATTACGTATTTGTTTCGAAGTTCCCTTTAAGCCGTCATTCAACGTGAACGACGGTCAATCACTAACGGTAAACATTTGAATTTATTTTTACTAATGCTGATCTCTAAAATTAATTTTAAACTTTGACATTATTTTGTCAGGTCTTAAATGAAATATCTAAGATATTGAAAATAATGCTTTCACAAAGGGGAGATGATTTTCTCAGAAATGTATGGACTATTTGGTTGCTACAACCGGATCTTCTTGATGATTTCCTACGAACCTTACAGCAATTAGAATTAAAAGCATTTCAGAAATATTTCCAGGTATTTGGTGTATTTTATTAAAAATTAACTGAACGGCATTTACTTATACTTACTTTATTTAATTATGTATCAGCAATTCGTTAAAAGATCAAAGTCATGAAGTATATTTAAGAATAGAATTGTTAAACAACTTTAATATATGTTAATTGGCTGGAACTGAGATTAGTAGATTTAGTTAAACAGACATTTTTTAGGTAGCAGTTTTACTTGGAATTTTGATCATTCATTTGCGTATTAATAAACCAATTCTATAAAATAAACTGCTATAAAATATAAATTTAGAATTATTTAAAAAACTTTTTTTTTCCCATCGATTTCTTCATTAGTTGATCATTAAGTTATAGCTATCTTAAATAGTGAACTTGCACGTATAAGATAAGGGAATTACACTTGCTGGACAAACCCAACCCCCCAAAAATAATGCCATTTACAAAAAATTAAAAAAATATTCTTGATATTTTGCAGATATATTATATATAGCTATGAATATATGGGGCTCCCAGAAGATATCTAGATATCTTACAGCTATTATCATAATTTCTGAAACGGATAGATTAGCGGCGCAACCAAAATTCAGCAGATCGGCCTGAATTATGGATCGGGATGGACTGGCGTTAATTAATTTTGCCAAAGATCACTCAAAATTTTTACTAATGAAACCATAGCCCACTCACTGCTCAGATGATAATTTTGCTGTAATATGGGCAATGGACTAGGAAAACCCGCCTTTGAAGGGGGTTTTCCATTTTGAGAAAATGGCGATTATTTGTCTGTGAAACCTAAATTTTACCCCTGAATTTTTTGGTTATTTTTAGATATCAATTACTGAATAAACAATGTCATGTGATTATGAAACACTGATTGACCAATCTAATTTAATTGAGTCGTTGTAAATCTATTTTTAGAAAACGTTCGTTAAAAAATTGGGTTACATTCAAGTTAAAATATCTCGATAAATTATTATATTAATGTAGGGTAAAAAGTGAAATACATATAGATATAAACCGGAACTTTAGTTTGAATCAAAAATCTCGAAATTGATAAAAATGTCTCAAAGACGGGTTTTCCTAGTCCACTGCCCATATACTTAGTTGTTGTTGCTTCTTAATGCCGGCCTAAATCCGATGAAATCCGACCCATAATTTGGGCCGAACTGCTGAAATTTGGTTGCGCCGCTATTCTATCCTTCTGGAACACCTGCTTACCCGAAATCTTTTAGGTCGTTCGGTAAATTACCTAACTCTCCGGAAATTACATCACTGCCTTCAGACTGAGGGTAATGAGCAGGTGTTCCAGAAATTATGATAATATCTGTAAACGTACTGATAACTTACTGGGTAACTTCTTAGTGATGCGAATGGCTCGGCTCATGGCTAACACTGATCAAGCCGAGCCGATCTTTCAGCTCATTAATCAGAGCTGAGCCGATTAACCTCGAGCCGTTACTCTAAGATATAGGCTTCCTTATAATTTCTCAACTTTACGCAATTGAATTTATATAGTAAATTTTTTTTAAAAAATATATAACCATCATTTATAATTAGGATGGTAAAGTCCAGTCTGGTCTGGTCCTGGTCCCATAACCTGTAGGTTTTACTAACACGATGTTACACGACTGATCCTTCACCCGGTGTGCAACATATAAAAAAATTAATTTACAATACTAGACCACTAGTACATGTTATGATTATAATCCCACACCATTTTTATTATAATAAAATGGTGTGGGATTATAATCGTAACATGGACTATCTAGTATCGTAAATTAATTTTTTTATATGTTGCACACCGGGTGAAGGATCAGTTGTGTAAAATCGACAGTTTCTCTACTTTAGTATCCGCGCTGAAGATCAATCCGGATCCAATAAAATCACAACAAACGCGAAAAACATAAGAAATTGTAAAAAAAAAGCAAATAACATAAAAATTATTATAATAACTAACTTCTAATCTCTAAGTAAAAGTTTTTAGAATGAAATTTTACTTTATGATTATTATTAAAGATTGTACTTTGTAATAGTAATTTATTAATTTGGAATTAGTTATTACAAGCATTTTTTACAAACATAAGAATACAATTAGTTACATGTGCAATTTTTGATTACTTATTTAAGTAGTTCATTCTAAGGTTCTACATTAGATGTTATACTTATAATTTGCTAGAAGATTATTTATTTAAATTTTTTAATTATTTGCTTTTACCAAATTTTAATCTGTTACTACCTTTTCATATATATATATATATATATATTTTTTAGTTAAAGTTCTTATCTTGAAAGTTGTGATGTTTTTATTCAAGTATATTAGGACATGGCATGCCACTAGAGGCTCACCTTACATTGGAGGTTACAACTAGTCACATGTGCATTTTTGATATCTAATTTAAGTAATCCACTTACATATTACTATATAAGTTCTACACTAGTTGTTATACCTGCAAGCCAACTAGGAGTCTTGCCTATTTAAACTCTCAGCATATGCAGTCCTTCTTGTATTATAGGAACATCTCAAGACACTACTCATCCAAGTTCCTGATGCTTATTGATATTCTTAGGACTACTTTATCCTTGATAGAAAACTTACTAAAGCTTTTATGTCCCATATATATAGACCTAGTTTTATGCAACATGCTATAATTATCTAACACTTGCAGTTACAGTGATTACCTGTTTAATCATTATGTTACATTATTTTTATATTTATAAAGTTCACTAGAACCCCAGTACCCATCTTTCTAGCAACTTTTTCATCATCTCCTACTAGTCACAACTCAGAACTATTGGTCTCATTCCAGACTACCAATTCAGATAGCCTGGTATAGTATACTTCTGTATCCTTTTTTTCTAGCGAACCTGGCAACCTGATTGGTTATGTGTTCCTCTACACATATTTGTTGTCTGGTTTTAATCTTCAGTTCCTATAAAGATGTTTCATGGGTTTCAACTGGTCTGATGGTATCATCGAAAATTCATGCTATCTCTTTATTTGAAAATTTCCAAGTGGGTTTTCGTTATCTCAGTTCCTTAGTCTTCTACAGCCAGTAGTCTTATTGTGAGTTTGTACTGAAGTCTTATGCAACACCAGTTAATATTCCTCTATAAATATGTAATGTTATATTTCATATAGATGCCTTGAACTTCCAAAGCCAGAAGGACCCAACTTGATGTATCTGGGTAACAGCTACATAAGGCCAACTGATTGACAGGAGACAGTTATCATAATGCAGATATAATTTTCAAATTTTATCATAGGTGGGATTTGAACCTTAGATCTGCCATTTGGAAAATGACAACCCAATTAATATACTAGGATTGCCATTCTCTCTTTTCATATATATTTATATATATATATTTTTTGAACTTGTATACAAGACATTATTTATTTTAAAGCATATTATTTAATAATAAATTTAAAGGAGTTTTTATATTAACTAATTTATTTATTTTATAATCTTATTAATAAAATTATATATTTACAAAATTTATTTAAATCTTAATATTAATTTTATTATAAACTCTTTTTGTCAGTTACCAAAATACAAAAACTTGCAGAAACAAATTCAAGATTTACTAAAAAACTAGCATCAAAACTGTAGTTAAATACTTAATAAAAAAAAAAAGCTCTTAAAATAGACTTAATAAATAGATTAATAAAAAAAAGCAAGTTAAGTAACAAGTAAAGAAAAGACAAATTTATTAAATAAGTTTTAAAAATAAAATTTTGAAAAAATAACATAGACTTGGAATCACAAATTTGTTTAAAATATGTAAGTATATAAAGAGACAAACCAACAGACATGCACAAATAAAATAAAATAAATATGTAAGTATTATAAAATATACATGATTGTAAATAAATTAAGAAATAGTATAAAACATAATTAATTAATAGTTCATAGTTAAAGGATACAAATTTTATAGTAAAAATTAGTAAACATGTAACTAGTTACCTTATATAGTAAGTGAAATACCATGTGCTTCAATTCTTAAGAAAAAACTCTATAGTAAATGATTGAAAAATATTTATATTTTATAATTTATTTAACCAATTTTGATGATTTTATTATTATTAGAATCACAAAATTTAGTTCTACAACTTTTAATTAAGTAACAAAAAAGAATTAGTTAATAAATAAGTAGCTGTGCAACATTGTCGTGTGAAACCAGAAACAGGAGAAATCTACGCAGACACCATTTCAGTTATAGGAAACCATATTCTTCATTGCAATCCATTTCTGGTATAAGAAAATGACTCTTTATAGAAGAAGTTAATAGTATTTGCAATTTGAATATTGGTTTGAATTTCAGTGACTGAGCCTAAAAACCTATTAATGAAGTCAATGTTTAGCTAGCATCATTCAGTTCTTTCAATTGAGTCTTTGATGTTCAGCAATTATCATTTTATCTGCCCAATAAAAATTCGATGAAAAAAATAAAAATTACAAAATATTTGGCATTGAGGACTTTAAGTTTACATTGGGTCACTAATCTTTGTACTAAAAAAAATATTTTTACTATTATTTGTTATTGCATCTTTGATTTTACAGATGCATGTTGTGACAGGTTATATGGATGAGTTCAGAGATGAGGCAAATGCAACAAATTGTTACTAGAAAAATACTTATGCCACATAATGTTCCTTAAAGATAATAGAGGTGGTTTTATGATTTGGCACAAGGTCAAGGCAATTGAAGAGAAGCATTACAAGATAAGTACTATGATTTTAAAAAGTATCATTGTATTGGTGGTTCAAAAAGATCTTTATTAATAACTTTATTAATAATTTTGTAGGGAAATACAATTATTATTTAAGGGTTATTCTAGACTATTCTGAACTCTTGGACTATGCTGAAATACCTTTTAGGAGGGTAAAATTCCATCCTTTTTATAATGAATTGAACGATAGAAGAGCCTGCACAAGACCACGACTCTCTTTATTATTACTAACACTTCCCAATCTTATTTGTTATAACCTTTAACCCCTTCTATACAGCCTTTCATTACTTTAACATTTCTCATAGCTTTCATAGTATGATGAGAAATGTTTCAGTTTCATGATCTCAGGGCCAGAACTCATTGTATTGTCTTCAATTGCACCCTT